GTATTTCTTTACGTTTGAATTTACGAAGAGTAAAAATCTATTATATTTTTCCTATCTATATATATATATAATTCTTCTGTGAGTGTGTATGTCACTGAACTTCTCTCAAACGACTGGACCATTTTGATGAAATTTATTATGTGTGTTCAAGGGGATCTGGGAATGGTTTAGATTCACAAATCAGCCCGGCAGATGGCGCTGCAGTCGAGGTTTTGGTTATTTATCCTAAACAGCTGAACTAATTTGAATTTGTTTATACATTCAAGTGGATATGCAGGACAACGTCTGTTGGGTCCGCTAGTCATAGTATATATTCATTCTAAAACTCTGAGTTCTTCATTTTATTATGAATATTTTTATTGCATTTTAAAGCACGGAACATCAGCATAAATAATGGTGTTGTCAATTTTACACAGTTAAATTTAAAAAAAAACCTTTCCTTTATCCAATAAATTACGTTTAGTCAATCGTACCTTTTACCCATTTCTACTTTTCCCATCTCTATAAGGATGTATATTTTATTTGTTTCTTTGACAGACGTAGACGTGTTAATAAATAAACTTTTTTATGATCGCATATTTATTGTATGGAAGAAAACAAAAACAGATTTTTACTATTGACGATTATGTTCTATAAACCTTATTCAAGGTCGAAGTTTTCTTGTTCACGGGTTTCTTTGAGTTATTGTAAGTAAGACTGTCATGTGTAATGTTTCAGAATTGATGCCCAGATTTATAAATTAACTAATGGTTTAATTACATAAAAATTAAGAGATATATATAAAAAATCTAACATACGAAAGTACGGAAGCCCTGCTGCAACACGTAAAATAACCATCCCTCACACACCCTCGCAGATACACCACGACACACACGCCACACACACACAGATACGCGCACCTCACACACACATACACCCCACACTCACATATACCCCTTACACATAACTCTATTTATATAAGTCAATAAACTGGTAATTGTAAAAACCAAAAACTATTGAAATATTGTTATGTTATGGAAGAGCGGAGTCTCCTAATACAGGCATTATTTACCTAAAAAGAGGCTCCAATCACAATCTATTGTTAAAAAATATTTGGTTCAGAAATAAAAAATAAAAAAAATGTATATATACTGCCTCGTTGGTCGAGTGGTCGCAAGTGCGACTGCCGGGCGAGGGGTCTCGGGTTCGATTCCCGGGTCAGGCAAAGTATTACTGGGTTATAAAACATTCTCAGTAGTAGCACGGAGTCTGCAAATATGCCCGGTATATGGCAATAGGCTCACCCCCTACCTATTACATGGGACTCATAACATAAATAGTGAAAAGTGGGTGTTACATTGTATAATGGCATAATGTGCACCTCTGCCTACCCCTTCGGGGATAAAAGGCGTGATATTATGTTATGTTATGAAAATTTCTACTAGTTTCGAGTCACAGAGGAACTCTTCCTCATGCGCAGCCTACTAGTCAATGACCAGGCGTGCGTAACTCGTAATTTTTAGTTAATTTAGCATTTCTCATCCATAATAACCATCGGTTATTATAATAACCAATGATTAATGAGTTAACAAAATCTCAGCAACATAATATAGCAACTAATGTTTAATCGTAAACTTGTAAATTCACCATGATCAGCGTTGCAGTAAGATTTGAAATTACAAACCAAAAAATCAATCAGCTAGTTAACTTTTTGATTTCCGACAAAAGACTATTGAAGTTTATGAATCACCCACTAACATTAACCATTTTGTCTAAAAACGTAATAAGGTATTTATTTCACAACTTCTTGCCAATAATGACTCAAAACAACATAATATACATCAAAAACATAAAATGGAAAAATTATACCTCGTTTCGAAAATAAGACATAAAAACATTCTCCTTTCGTTTTACAATAAAAAAAGTAATTGTATCAAGAAAGACCCGCTCCAAGTAATTGTTGGTACAAGAGCATTTTTGAGTCCCGTCGTGCGGCCAGAAAAAAAATTCGAGGCCGAGCCTTTGTTGTAGATTTTCCTAAAGGATCTAATGAACCGTGCTCCTTCTAGAGTGGAAGATAAAAATATGTTTATGTTTTCAGTGATACAGGCATTTGTAAAGATTTTTTTATGCTGATGGATTTTTTTGGGGTTTCCTTTGAGGTTAGGAGTTTACGTCATACCGATTTTTTATACCTATACAACATACTTCCAGTTCTGTAGCTGTGTCTACTCTTAATTAGTGTTAATAATACTATGTACGACTACCTCGTTGGCCGAGTGGTCGCAAGTGCGACTGCCGGGCAACGGGTCTCGGGTTCGATTCCCAGGTCGAGCAGAGTATTACTGAGTTTTTAAAATTCTCAGTAGTAGCACGGAGTCTGGATTGAGCCCGGTATACGGCAATAGGCTCACCCCATATTACATGGGACTCATAACATAAATAGTGAAAAGTGGGTGTTACTTCTGTGTGCACCTCTGCCTACCCCTCCTACCCCTTTGGGGATAAAAGGCGTGATGTTATGTAATAATACTACGGTAATTGGGTCTCCGGTTTCACGTCGATTTTCTGTGAGGCCGTGGTATCTATCACTTCGGTCTAACCGGCGCATTCGTCCCAAAGCATGGCTCTCCCACACTTATCAGAACGTGACCAAATAAGTTCGTTTCACTATTACATAAACAGCGAATAGTAGATAAAACCCACCCCTGTTCATATTTGGTTTCATAATATAACCAAAACTAACTTCGCGCAGAATAAACATCATCCATTAGAATTAAAATGTCGGAAAGGAATTAGTTGAATAAACATGAGCTCGAAAGGAAAACCATGTCTGTAGACGCATTTGCAATTATTATCTTTGGGTGAACACTAATAGGGCCTTCCGATTAGTTTATTGGGGTTCCGTACCCCAAAAAGAGGTTGCAGGATCCTATTACCAGCCACCGTAGTCCTGACAGAGGAAAAGTATTGAAAAATACAAATAGTACCTCTCGTTGATTCATTTTGTCATACTATGAAATGGATACCTTAAAGAAATTGGACTTTTTGATGGTGGATAAAAATATAGTCATTTTTCATACAGGTATCAATTATTTTTTCAAGAGTGTTTGAATAACTTAATGGTATACTTATAACTATGAAAAATTAAGAACCATAATATGCATTCAGGATGGTAATGACTATAGAAACGTAAATATAAAAACGAAATGATGACGAAATATTAGATGAAATAAATATTTGCCCGGTTGGTCTGGCCTGAGTCAAACATATAGTCCGTTAATAGATTCTTATAACAATCGGGGGGAGAGTAGAGGTTATGACAAATGACATTCTTCCCTGCCTTCATCAAACCACTTAACAAATGTGTATAGTAAAAACAAAAAAAAACTTAACTACAATGTTCAGTGAACTCAAAATTCAATGTACTCTTCCGAATACTCAAGAGATCTCAACTATAAGTACCTGTTTCAAAGACTAAATCTCTAAAAAGGTCCAAACAATTTCTATTCCTATCAGAACAGGTTGAAATGTAAGTTTGTCTTCGATTCATGAAAACAAGAAGCTATTTATAGGCACAAAGGTTCACATGTCTACAAACATTACGTGTGTACCCTGTCTTTCAAGGCGTTACGTTGTATAGGCTTCAGATTTTGATCAAGGAGTTGCTAGTGATACATTTACTGAATGGGAGGACCGAATATAATATATCTTAATGCTTGCTCTTTGCAAAACATGATAAGCTGAAATGGTTCTACTCTACACGAACCCGACAGGGTTAAATAATTTTATGTTCTGGGTATAAATTGTCGCACACTAGTCATTTTCAGATTATTTTATTAGTGAATTTTTTTACAATCTAGACCCCACTTATGTCGCGGAGAAACTAATGGATAACCGGGGCTCCAGCTCGACGTGCAGGAGAAGGAACGGGGTGGTTGTTAGTCAGTAAGAGTCTGACACTCCCTCCCGCCTCACCGAGGCGGGAGCAGTCATTCGATGATTTTCTCCCCTTAAAAAAAAGACCCCAATTATTATTTTTCACACAAAACAAAACATCAAGCCTTTTATCCCCGAAGGGGTAGGCAGAGGTGCACATGATTTACGGCACTTAATACCAGTTTACAATGTAACCCCACTTTTCACTATTTATGTTATGAGTCCCATGTAATACGAGGTGAGCCTATTGCATTATACCAGGCAAGGCTACTACAGAGATTTTTTAAAAAAAACCAGTAATACTTTGTCCGACTGGGAATCGAACCCGAGACAACCTTGCGACCACTCGGCAAACGAGGTATTCATAATTATTTTTCAGGGACATTAATTGTTTTTGATAAATGAAACAGTAATTTTCTTATACCAAAATATTAATCAAGTACAAAGTAATCCATAGGTTAAAAAAAACCTACTGTCGATTTCCACGAAATTCACTTCATTTCAGTTCTACACCTACAACCGGCTGAACGATTTTGGTTTTACGCTATCAAATGGTTGTTACCTCCATGATATTTTTGTGCGACTTCACTCCTTTTAATCCACGAAGGGATGGACAGATGTGGTCATATATTTAAGTACAATGTAACACCAATTAATAGAGGGTGAGCTGTGATAATAGTATCATAAATCGATCCTAGTTTTAGATTGAAAGATATACGAAGCTATATAATTTGAAAAACAACGAAAAAGTTATGACCTTGAGACTAAGTTTTATGAAAATAAGGATGGTATGACCTATTCTAAAAACGATGCATCTACCTATATTATAAAATGTTCCACCGCATTCGCGATTCGTTGGTCATTATGCAATGATGGAAGTCATTAGCACTTGACGATGTCCAAAATGCCCTGAAGAGGCTATTGACGTCCAAACTGAATGGCTTGAGACTTCCGTAGTATTTTCGTGGCCAGTTTATAAGCTCCATATAGATTTCACTGGCTACCTCTCTTACTTTAGTATAGCTGTCTCTCTCCCTCGCTAGCACGTAAAGACACCCCAGTGCGTTTTCGTACATCGCTGCGGACGGTCGGTTGCCCGTGCTCCCGATTTAGGGATATCGCGTATAAATTTTTAGCTCGAATGCGGTGCGATTAAGTACGTTCGGAAGAAATGTGATGATTAATAAAATGTTAAAGATTGTGTAGCGTGTTTTATATTAATATAGGAACTGATTTCGAATTGTTTTGTGGTAAATTGAAGTGACAGAGCATAGTGTTAGTGGAAAGAAATATTTTTGTAGTGGATTTTTAAAAGGTAAATATTTTAATTTTATATTTATTATATATAATTTTATGTGAAGGGAAATTTATTACAGAAATATAATAGAATATAAGGATTCTTTTAATTATGTAAAAAAGGAAACAATACTTTAACCGACGGCAATTGAAAAAAATCTTTAATAAAAACATGAACTTGAAAAAACAAACTTTGATTATTTTTCATCTCCGCATAGTAATAAAGATTCATAATTTAAATTTTAATTATTTAATAAATTCAATATTCATAAATTTAAATTAAATAATCAGAATGCGACTAGAATTACTTTTACACTGAACTACATTGAACCAGTGTCGTATTTCTAAATGCTTAAGACTAGAGTAATTAAATGGTAAAGCTAATGTTTCAGATTTTTTATTTAATTTAAAATATCTTCTTAATGAGATATTCTATTTTTCTGAGTTAGAAAGTTGTAGGCGTATTAAAGACTTTTTATATAATCTTGAGGTGTTAAACTCGTCGCAGACTTAGATTTAATAACAAAAGAACTAACTAATTTATCTTTTAATATTAATTAGGAACATCAATTAAAATGATTATTTGGGAAATTAATTGTGAATTTAAGATGGATTTTGTCTTTTGTTATATTACTGATTTAATTCTTTTATATTCCACAATATATTTAACATTATAATATATTCTAACATTATATTCTTATAATATAAGATATATTCTAACATTTATATTACATTCTAACAATAAATGTATGTAATTCTTTAAAGGGATAGGTAGAGTATTAAATATTTTTTTACTTTTATAATGAGTTACAATTTTTTTATTAGTGCGGTACTCATGTTTTTTAGACTTTATATTAGTACTGAATGCGGTCTTGTGGTATATTATGAGTATCTCCTTTTTGTCGTAGTACGAAAAAGTATTATAAAGATGACTGTAATAATGATCAGAATTTTATCATTCACCATTTAAATTAGATTCAAATAATGAATGGAGATTTATTTTTGGAATATTCACGTTTCGGAACATCTAGCAAGGGATGTCTTGTGGCTTATTTGATGATGTAGGATGGTAGCCATGTACCTTATATACAATTAAATAAAGGCTTGCTAACGTTAGCTCCATCTATACATCTAGATAATTGAGCCAGACGAATTTCGGCTCCAAGTAAGAACTAATTAACATTTGCAGAGCACGCAAAACTCATTATCTACTTTTTAGAATTCTACCTATCGGGAGCCAAATGGAATCAAATTGGACTTGTATTTTATTTCTATCTTAACTACTTTCCTTAATTCATTGTTAATTATGTGATCGTCTAAGTTTAGGGCGATAGAATTGCATGGACCTTTCGTTACAATACAATTAGAAAATAATATTATTGTCCTCTGAGATGATTTATAAGTTATATTGAGACTGGTGCAAGTCTTAACCAACTTGAGTTGTCTATTCGTCTGTATTAATATGAAAAACTTTGAAAAATACCTAAGTATGAAAAACTTTTTTAGTATTAATTATGAATATGAGCCTCAAGGGTGGCTTGACACTAGTCGTGTTCTCATCAAACAGTTACACGATTAATATTAAAATACTCGAACGTTACTCTATTTTAAGTCGCGCTTATGTATAGTACTGTAACTTTAAATTCTTTGTCAAAGTCAAAGTCAAAGCATTTATTTCAATTAAAGCATATTTTGGTACATATGAAACGTCAACAAATACAAAATAAATAATAGTCTGTCAGTCAGTCCGTCCGTGAAGCTAGGTGAAGCTAGATGGTGCTCATTCGTAAAATGACAGAGGTGGCATAATATTAAGTACAATTTAAAATTGAGTACCCTCTCAGTATTCATACGCCGTTAAACATAATTGATTAATTAAATACTAGCGACCCGCCCCGGCTTAGCAGGGGTGCAATATGCGAGGAATATACATATAAACCTTCCTTAAGAATTACTCTATCTATTAAAAAACCGTATCAAAATCCGTTACGTAGTTTTATAGATCTAAGCATTCATAGGGACAGACAGACAGTGGATAGTGACTTGGTTTTATACTATGTAGTGATATCTCACGAACATTATAATAATTATAAAACCTCTTTCGATATTATTACTGCTGTTTAAGGTTTAGTGGGACTACGAACAAACTACCTCTATTTAATTTACAAATACCTACATAGTTACTGTTAATCATACAATATTATGAAGAGGAAAAATACAGTTGCTTTAATGTATTAGCTACAAAAGTACTAAAATGATTTGAAAAATTCTTATAACTTTGGAAATATTATTTTTATACCGATATTCCACCAGGATTGGAACCTACTTCACCTTAACTACTGGAGAGAAATCTTTTGAATTCTATTCGGCTAAAAGCTGCAGGTGGAAACCTAGGATTTTGTATCGAGAAACATAATAATGCTTAGAAAATATTTTCCGGAAAATGTTATGTGCAGTTTTTATATCTATAGAGATTTTTAGCGTTTGGTAGCTCGTTTCTTTGGAACTACAGAACATTTAGTTCGAAATATAATTATTTTTTGTTGAGTATCTCATATTTTGTATTCTTTGCACAAACGATGTACCTAGACTTTTTAATAACATAACATAACATCACACCTTTTATCCCTGAAGGGGTAGGCAGAGGTGCACATTATGTCACTGTACAATGTAACACGCACTTTTCACTATTTATGTTATGAGTCTCATGTAATAGGGGGGTGAGCCTATTGCTATATACCGGGCACAATTTCAGAGTCCGTGTTGCTACTGAGATTTTTTTTCAAATAACCCAGTAACACTTTGCCCGACCCGGGAATCAACTCGAGACCCCTTGCCTGGCAGCCGCACCTGTGACCACTCGGCCAACGGGGCAGTCACTATAAACTATCATAAAATTAATTTATGACTCCGTTTATATATATTACGACAATCTGCTTTAGTTTATTGTCTAGAAATTTCATGCGATGCTTCACCAAATGTTGATATTTTAAAATAGGATTTTCTTTAGTTTTTAATAAAAGTGGTTTATGTTTGTGGTGTATCGTAATAAGGTCAGCTCATCGACATCAATAGCTAGTGATAGTCTAATCAATACTATATTATGGACTATGTCTGCATAAGATGTAGATGGCTTCCTATAAAGATCACGCTTGGCTGGTGGATTTATCATTCAATCATAGTATTTTTTTATATTTGATGGGCCGACGTTTGACCACTATCTCGCCTGGTGGTAAGCGATGATGCAGTCTAAAAGGTCAAGTCTATCAGAGAGTGCTAGTGGTATCTCTTTCAGTCTTATAATCGGAATGATGACAGGGTATGATAATTAAAAATCTAATTAGTCTGTAAGTTAGATAATAAAAAAATATTAGACACGTATTTTTATTTTATTTTGTCTTATAATAAAACAGTACTTAGATAAAACGTATCAAAGTTTAGGAGTGGGGGCTAAAACGTCATTTCTACGTATAAAATGTACATCGAAGTGACGTCACGTGACATTTCAAATCAATATATCGTCGAAAGTATTCGTTTCTGTAAAAAAATGAAAAATACGTGTGTACTAGTGATTTAAAATAATTTACAAGACGGACATTAAAACAAAAATTAGGCATTTACCCTATTGGCTATTACCCGCGAAAAGAGTTAGGGTGTTAACAAAATGTACTTTGTATGACTCACAAAGAGGGGTGTCTAAACTTACTTGGTACACCATCCAGGAGCGGTGCTCCAACGATCGTATTTGTATTTAACCGATTTCAAAAAAAATAGTTGAGATTTTGTTGTCCTGTGTGTATATACTTATATGATTGTTTCAGAAAAGTGCTTGTTTTTATAATAACTATCGCGAGACATACTAAGTAGGCAGGTGACATCGCCGCGACCGCGCACGCTGTTTATGATAAAAAACCCTCTGTGGTTCAAAACTAGTAGAACTTTTCTCAGTATGTTCACGTGAGTAACCCGCGATTTTTAGTTAATTTAGAACAGTGTTTGTTACACATAGGAATAGGTTTTATTTAGTATATTAGTTAATAAGTGAATTCGAAACAAAGAGGGATTGAGGTTGGTTTTTTAAAGTAGTTTATAATACACTAGCTTTTACCCGCGGCTTCGCTCGCGTCACAAAAGGATAAAAAGTAGCCTACCAATACACACAGCGCCATCTATACCAATAATTTCATTTTTCCTCGAGGACATCAAATTTTTCCGGGATAAAAAGTACCCTATTATTTAATCCAGACTTCTAACTTTACGTCTGCAAAAATTCAAAGCAATCGGTTCAGTAGTTACGGCGTGAAAGCGGAACAAATAAACAAACAAACAAACTCACTTTCCGATTTATAATATTATAGTAAGGATACATATATATAGTATATACAGTTCAAACAGTCTGAAGTCAGTTAAGGGTTAACGGCGGAGGTTTTGTAATTGTATATTTTTGTGCCTCTACCTAAGGGTGGTGATCCACATACCAGTTAGCTCGCCCACGTACCTACATTTATTTACTTAAATATAAACAAATAACTAACTAGACAGATAACAGCGATCAAAGTTTAATTTGAATATGATAAGTAATTACTTAGTTTTATCAGCTAAACATCGAATGTTTGACTTTGAAATTACATTATGACTATTATGTACATATAGAATTTGATAAATGTGTTAGTGCTTTACTCTTTATGTATAAATGTCGTGGATGACAGGACAGAGGGGTGCTACCTACATAATGTTTATTTAGTTACATAACGTAACGATGGTACACAGAGGTCTATTATTTTTAATGTATTATTGTCTTACTTTTCTCCAGTTATCTCATGGTTTTCATTTTTCTGGGTGGTGAGAGTATTATAATATATTGACCTTAAATTTAAACTAGGTAATTATAGATTGACTCATTGGCCGAGTGGTCGCAAATGCGGCTACCGGGTAAAGGGTCTCGGGTTTGATTCCCGTGTCGGCCAAAGTATTACTGAGTTTTAAGCCTCACCACGACGCACGCTGCTCATGAGGAAG